AAAAAGCAAAAACAGGGATAGCCTTGCCTCGTGATGATGAAGGGGGGGAAAGAACGTGTTTGTAGAACATGGGCTTATAGTCTGCACTTCACAAATAGCAGTGATGCTTCCATCGAGAACTGCGAGCCCCCATCAAGTTCTCTGCTCCAATTCGACAATTATCAGACGTGTTCTATTTCCTCACCTTGTCTATTTCTTTCCTCTCTTTCTTGACGGGTTGTGGATGTGTACATAAAGCATTTTTTCCTACAGCTTTAAAGAGTATCTCCCTGCTCCCCTATCCCCGCCGAGCCACCCTCCACCGACTCCCCCCAACCACCACTCCCCCCAAAGGTGGGGCCTGGGAGGGTAAGCTGGGCTGGTCCCCGTGGAAGGGCAAGGGCAGTAGGCCGAAGCCCCCGAATCTCTCCACAGCAGCCCAGCCTGGCCGGCCTCTGCCTGGCCTGCGACTCGCCTGCCTGGCTCTGGGACAGATGCTTCCCCGGGGACAGGGAAGTGGAAGCAGGGGCAGGTGCTACCAAGACAAAAAAAGGCTGGCAGACAGGCCAGCTGCCAGGGTGTGGAGGGGCCCTGTGTGTGGGACCTGAGGTGGGGCAGGGTGGGGCACGTGACAAGCACCCGGGCCGCGGCACCCCGCTCACGGCTCACCTCCCAAAGCTAATGGCCCAGGCAGGCCGTGCTGAATGCATCCTTTATTCTAGAGGCCAGGCTCCCTCGCTCCTCAAAAGAGGGCTTAACCCAGGCTGGTGAGCAGGTGGCCAACAGCTGCTCCCTCGACACAGCAAGACTGTCTCCGTGGCTACAAAGCAGGCCCAGATGCCAGCCCTCTGTGTGAGAATGTTTCCTCCTGGCTGAGACAAGTCCCTCCACAGAGCTGCCTGAAAAGGGCCATTTGCCAGGGGGAGGGGCTGAGTCCCACAGCTCCCCTGGCTGCCCACAGGCACTACCTCCCCTCTTCTCTTGCAAGACCCCTTTCTGTTAGCAACTGCCAGTCCTGAGTCAGGAAAGCGAACCACTATATTCTCCTGGGTAATTGCTGTCTATTCATCTCCCCAGGACTCAACTCCCTTTCTCCCCTCCATGCAGAGAGAGGAAGTTTGCCCTATTCAGCATGCTACCATCTGGGGGATTCTGTGATTTGAATGTGATTATGATGTAGAAGGTCCTAGAAGCTCCTTTCCTAGCTCCTCACCCCTTCCTTGCCGTTTCTCAGGACCGCTGCCAACCTAGGTCCTGCAGAGTTGTGGATTTAAATCATCCTCACTATTGGTTACAACTGACCTGAGAATGCACCTACTGGAAAACCCTGACCATTTCATTTTTAAAGCATGGGATTAAGATAACTTCCCTTAACATCCCAGCAAACATAACACACTGCCATTCTGTATTCGAGGCGGGCTCCATTTGACCTACTCCAGAGCCACTTAGTACTCTGCACCTTGAGTGAGAATGACCACCATCAGTTATGTTTCCCGTGTTTCTCCAAAGGCTACAAGTCAAAAGTCTAACTCTGGCTCCACAATAAACTAGGTCAGAGCATACCAAAAGTGCCGAGCAGTTGATCTGGTTTTGCAAGACACAGGATTTTGTTTTTAGACTCTGCCAATTCAAAGTTCAGTTAATTTGTTTGCATTTTGTGTGTCTCATTGGAAAGCCTGCATGACAAGTGAGAGTGATCCCTGTTCTATTTAGGTCATAGGGCATGTAAGGAGGGGTCCTAATACCCTGGCTAGGGCAGAGGACCCTGCTGAATGAAAGGCACCTTGTTTTGGTCCTAGTGACAGAGGTCCCGTTTTTCAAATGAAGCTTACATTCGACCTACTGTGATACACTTGCCAACCGCCCCAGGACAGGCTCTGGGATGTCTACAAACCAGAGTCTGGATCTCCACTAGTTGTGGCTACTATTTTGGGGACACCTACATAGACCAGCTCCTGCCCAGGTGCTTTGCCCAGCTCCTCCCCAATCCTCACAGCCGCCTTGCCTGGAAATGTGGGAACTATTATCCCCTTTTTGCTAATAGGAAACCTGAGACTAGGAGAGGCCAAGTTCCTTCCCCAGGGTCAAACACCCAGAATAAGTAACAGTTTCAGGATTCAGTCTCAGGCATCTGAATCCCCATGTTCTTTCCTACCACGTGTTTAAGAGGAGAGCCCCTGCCCCTTTGGGTACCTGCAAGACGGCTCTTAGTGCCTGAGGAGTTGGGGCTATTTCTCCCTCCGCGGGAAGGGCATGCCTGGAGCATGGATGTGCTCGCTCCCTGCAGCTTCGGGAGACAGAGACCCCACACTTGTCCGGGGTTGGGGACGGGGCCGTGACTCAGCCTCCCCCGGAAGAACGTGCCGAGTGAGATGGCAGTGGACTGATCTCTGTCCTAATGGAGACAGAATACAAGAGCGGGGCAGAAACGGAACAAACTAGCGCAACCGCTCCTGAACACCCAGCTCAGGAACAGCTCGGGCAGATAATCGGCTAATCCAATTTCCAGCCGGCTTTGCAGTGCGTGTCAGCCACCATCATTTTCCACCAGGCCTTCAGCTTCTCCAGGAGCCTGGATTTTTGAGCGAGCAAAAGATAAAGAACTGACCCCCGTTTCCACACCTCCCCTCACCTCTACCTCAGCCTGCGTTGGCATTGACACGCATCCTTCCCACTCCAGGGGCAGCTCCGCTCCGGCACCCCCTCCCCTCCCCTGCACCTATGCACCCCACCCCAGCCCTGCATTCCTTTCTAGTCCACAGCGAAGCACGGGTTGAGAGCACCCATTCTGGATTCGTGGAGCTGGGCTTCTAAATCTGATTCTGCCACCCACAGGTTGCATGCCCTTGCCTTTGGTGCTTGAGCTCTCCTGCTTCAGATTCTTCATCTGTATAGGGGGATAATAACCCCAAAATGGTATCTACCTGTTATGGGCTGAACTGTGTCTCCCCCAGGTTCATATGTTGACGCCCTAACCCCCCATATTTCAGAATGTGACTCAACTGGGAGATAGGCCTTCAGAGAGGTGATTAAATTAAAATGAGGCTGTTGGGGTAAGCCAGAATCCAACCCGACAGGTGTTTTTACAAGAAGAGGAAGAGAACAGGGGGGCAAGGTCACCGGAGAAAGGCCATGTGAGGACACAGCAAGAAGGTAGCCTTCTACAAGCGAAGGAGAGAGGCCTCAGAAGAACTTAATCTTGCCTGCACCTTGATCTTGGACTGCAGATTGGGGATGGAATACACGTCTGTTGTTTAATCTGCTGTATTTGTGATGGGAGGCCTAGCAAATCAATACCCTACCTCAAAGCATTGTTGTGGGGTTTCGACTAGATGGAGCATCTAAATTGCTCTACAAAGTGCCTGGCTCCTAAGCGTTTTCTATTAGGATGGCCTCACTTTCTGTAGCACTCATTTGGTAAGCCTTGTGCCAAAGTTGTGAAGGGTTGAGTTCCTGGGAGATCGAAGTAAGTTCTCCGAGGGCCCTGGTGGTAGATTTCTGGCCTCCGCCTCCAGCCTACCCAAGTGCCTAATCTCTAAGGGCTGTTCAAAAACATTTGTAGATATAATATTCTTGGATTTCAAGAAATATCTAGGGACTGGAGTAGGGAACAAAGAAAGCAAACAGTCTTCGGGACGTTGATGGTTTAGCGGGGAAGGAGGAGACACTGATCACATAACATCACTTGCTTTGAGTGGTGTCCTTTTGCTTCCACCAAGAAGCAAGTGAGCTCTGAATGGAGGTGCTCCTTTGAGTCCCGGTGAGCCCGATGAGAGAGGAGACCGCAGCTTGCACCTGCTGTGGGCCTACTATGCACATCGTCTGCACAACAGCCCCAACTGGTTGACTCTGTTCTTATTTTAGTTTTTCAGATGAGAAGACTGAGGCACAGGGAAATAACTTCCCTAGGCTCAGACCACGTGTAAGAGTTAACAGCTGGGATTCAAACTCGGGCAGTCTAGCATCAGAGCCCAAATTAGCAGGAAGAGTGTGCTGATGGAACCGCAAAGACAGTTCTCGCAGGCTTGTGGTTTTCTGTTTCCGTGGCCGGGCACGCAGCCACTGTGATGTGGGGCAGGGACCTGGTCTCTCCTCTGTGCTCTAGAATCAGTCGTGGACAGGGAAGGCAGCACCCACTGACGGGTCCCCACACTTTCCTTCTAGCCTTCAGAATGGCTTTGTCCCATACCTCCTGGACAGGGGACAAGGACAGACCTCAACTAAGAAATGCAACCACAAGAGGGAGTTCTATCAATGACTTCTCTTTTGTTTTCCTCTGGCCATTTTGTTGATGTAGACAATAGGACCAGAAGGGATTTTGCTTGTTTTTCCCACATTTACTGCGTGTTAATGAGATGCTCAGCATAGTGTTAAGTGTTTTCCTCTGAAAGAGGCTTTGTCAAGGCCTCGGAGACAGACCTTGGATCCAAAGGGTTCCAGACCAAGCAAACACCGCAGGGAGGGAGTAGAAAACCAGTGAGGGGCATTCAAAACCTGTCCCACAGAGGAAAAGTTCAGGGGCTAGAGAGAATTTGTGAGGGTTTTTGGAGAGAGCTTTTAGCATAGAGTGAGTCCAGCCCCCCTCCCATGGGGCTAGGGGTCTGCCTCTCACCTCACTCCCAGGGAGAGCGGGTACAGTGGGTCCCTCGGAAAGGGAGGCTTGGAAACCTGACCCCAGCCTGGAAAATCAAAACCATGAGCTATGGGCTGGCTGGGCACCCTGGCAGCAGAACACAGACAGAGCAGCTGCCGTCTTGTAATTCTAGGGCGAGGAAGACCCAGATGCTTCCAATGGGTCAGCTGTGGAGCTCTGAGACCAAAAGACTGGCATGGGGTCATCTGAGGAGCTCTCCAAAAGGGTGTCCTGGAGGGACAAACAGATGGCAGCAGTGAGAAGTTCGGGCACTTCCCAGGACGGGGCAAGCCACCAGCCAGAGTAGGAAGGCATTCAGCCTGTATGGGGGGAGCTGGGGGTAAGAGGGGAGGACTCCTCAGAGACTTCTCCAATGAACCCAGGAAGTTCTCCCAGGCCCAGAGAGCCTGAGGCCTATCCCAGAAGGCATGCATGTCAGGTAGGATCCCCTTGTTCCCTTCCCTCTCCTCCTTCTCCGCTCTTCTCAGTCCTGGAGGGGACAGAAACCCAAGTGGCAATAGGGGTGGGGGGCGTGGAAGAGAGAGGCTGGAAAGAGAGGAACCAGTCACCCGCCCTCCCCAACAACAGCGTCCTGTCTGCACCAGCCCAGGCTGCTACCACTCATAGCCCAGTCCACCAAACTGGAATTTGGAAGCCGTTATTTGCGTCACAGAAGGCTTTTTCATTTAACCCAAAGCATTCACCTTTGAAGAAACATCAGCTTTCCTTTAAAGATAGACCTTCTCTTGTGCATTTTAATTATTTGTATTATTAAGATTATTATTAAGATTTTATATATCTCTATCTTATCCCCACACCTGACAAATGAGCTTTGATGAGCAGACACTACACCTTATTCTCCTTCAGCCCTCTCCACGGGACCCGATCACCAGAGACACTCAAAGATTTGATGACTAAAGCACACTTTTCAGGGACATGCTGACTGTAAAAAGTGAAGTGCAGTCATAAGCAGGATCAACCCACTCCATTTTCAGATTGCTCCAGCTGAACAAATATATAAACCATCCCTCAGCCTTTTCTCCCCCTGCATTTCAAGCAGTAGGTGGTACTAATAAAAACACCACCTCATATTTGTATAGCACGTTACAGTTCCAAAGCCACCCTCATTGCCCAAAGTCACTCTCCACCCCCGCACAACCCCAAACCCTTGCCACCCCAATTCCACCCACGTGGCTGCCTTTCCCCATGGCCCGCCCTGTGCCAGTCCTTGCCTGGTGAAGCCACGTGCCCCCTGGGGGGAGGCCATGTGTTATGTGAAGCGTCTCCTCATAAAGAGTCAGCTGGCCAGAAATGTGGGCAGAGAGTGAAGGGCAGCGCGTTCAGGTTCTGTTTATTATGTTCTCACAGCCTTGTTTATAGCAAAGGTGAATGACATTATTCCACTTTGCACAGTAATGAAACAACTCAATGAGGACTCCACCAGCCAAGCGGTTTATATGGCAGATGAGCTGCTACGAATCTCCTGTGCACGCCACGGGACTCAGCTATGCTGCCGTGGCTGGGGGGCACGCCGAGCCCAGCCACCTTTTCCCGCACGCAGCAGAGGGAAGGCCGCAGAAGGGTCCAACAGGAGTAACAACCAACAAGGGCACAGTTTATTGAGAGGGCCTGGACCCCACGCCTGGGAAGGCCAGTGGTGCCGTCTTGCAGTCTCCCATATCGGTCCACAGCACCCTGTGGGGTCCTGAGAGGCCACGGGCACAGGAAGACATTTCTGCTCTTGGCTTCTTCCTCCACGATCTCATGCCAAGCAGCACAGGTTCTCAACGGCAGGGGTGACTTTGCTGCCTCTCTTGCTTCCAATCCGGAGAGACACATATTTAAAGAGGGCTGACGCTCAGCCGACTGCAGGACAGTGTCAGATGGAAAATGAAATTCCTCTGCTTTGCTTGGGAGTAGGCACAGACAGGGTCCGGAGAGTTCCGGGCACTCATGTCGATGGGAGCCATCTTGCCTCTGAATGTGCCGCTTTTCACCTGTCCCTTCTGCTTGGTGGAAAAGCAGACGCCACGTCAGCTGCTTGTCTTTCCCACCCTGTTCCTTCCTCTTCAGTCTTCCCCACTCCTACCGTCCCCCAGCTCTCAACACAATGGGTTCAGGTCTTTCCCTCACAGTCCAGGGCCCGGGCTATGGGGACACCTCGGCCCTGCTGAAGAAAAGCACCCAGGCCCTCCCTGCACCCAGAGGCTGGGCCTACAGCCTGGGCAGAACACCATTTCCCAGCTTTGGTTTGTTCAGAGCACAAATTCTGGGGGGAGCACCAGAGAAGAAAATCAGCTAGGAACCTTCCAGCTGCCCATCCAGCCTGAGACCAAAGAGGGAATCATGAGGGCTTAGAGCAGGAACTGAAACCCCACTGTGGCCTTGGAAAAGAAAGTCCCGAAGAGCATGATATTCCCAGGATGGGACACACCCTTCGCCCATCACCTGAGTTCCAGCTACCCTGTCGCAAGGCCTTGGACACAGAGGCACAACCTAATGCAAATGGCCAAACACAGAGTGCATGAACACACACAAACGAGGGAGAAGCCCAGGAGGCCAGCTTGGAGGAAGCACTACGAATGAGACTCGGATGCATGGCAAAGCCTCTCTGAATCAAATACCCTCCAGAGCTGCCCACCATCGGCCTACCCACTGCCTCACGCCCCATGCAGCTGGGGCAGAAACATTATCTCAAAGGGGCACCCAGAGTCTGACTCAGGGCCGGCAGGTTCCTGGTCATTGTGCCAGTTCGCCTCTGGGTGTTCTCCAGCCCCCTAGGCCCTGCCGCTGGGTAAGCTCAGCCATACTGCTCCCCACTCCCCAGGCCGGTGCTTCCTAACCTCATCCGCATGGGCAATCACCGGGGGTGCTTTAAAAATGACTGCTGTCTTGGGTCCCAGCCCCAAGGTGCTCTGGGGTAGGACCAGGACATTTAGGTCTGAAAACTCCCCACGTGATTCCAAGGAGAAGCCAATGCTGGGAGCCACTGTCTCAGACCATCTTCTTTCAAAGCCTACTACTCCATGGGAACATATTAAAAATGCAGTTTTCTGGGTGCCCCCCCCCAGGTCTTTTGGATCAGCATCTCTGGGTGTGCCACCTGGGATGCTGTGCCACCTGGGATGCTGTGCATTTCTGGGTGCCCCCCCCCAGGTCTTTTGGATCAGCATCTCTGGGTGTGCCACCTGGGATGCTGTGCCACCTGGGATGCTGTGCATTTCTGGGTCCCCCCCCCCAGGTCTTTTGGATCAGCATCTCTGGGTGTGCCACCTGGGAATTAGCACTTGTAACAGGCTCTCCCAGTGAGCCCTGGGCACGCTCAGAGGATGCTGGGCATGCTCACCCCACGGGCGCCTGGGGCTATGAATGGTTGTCATTAATTAGGTTCTATTTGGTTTGCCGAAGGCAACAGGTAATCTCACACCAGCCTAAAAACAGGTTGACACTCAAGTAGGGCCAAAAGGCCACTTGCTGGGTGAAGAGCAATCCTAAGAATCGCAGCTCTGCCTGGCCCACTGCCCTGGCTTCCCTGGGTCTTCAAAGGGCCCAGGCCCAGAGCAAGCCTCGAGCCTGGAAGGCAGTCCACAGCACGAGCCCGGCCTGAGGACCAAAGGAAGACCTTACACGGAAGAAGTGGCACCTGCAGATGCCCACCTAGTGAGGCGGACGAGGGTCCGTAGAAGAGGAACTAGGAGAGAGGGTAGGACTAGGAGACATGGAAGGTCAGGGATGAGGTATGCTTTGATATTGCTCTAGGTGTTGTAAACATTTCTCTTTGTTTCATCACAGACCAAAATCTGGCTTGGCATGACCTAAGTGCCTGAACATAGGCATCAGAGCAGAGAGCTCTGTGCCTTTGGTGGGAAGCAGGACAGAAAGGGTGTGAGGACAGCTCCACCCCATGGGAAGACCATCTCTGTGGGGTACTGGCCTCATGCTCACAATGGTCACATACACACGCACGCACGCAGACACTCCACGGGAGTAACATAAATATAGCTATCACATTCCTCTACACACAGACACACGCCCACATGCCCTCCCATAGCGGCAAAATTCACGATACCCAAGCTTGGTCCTTCACACCTCCCCATCGTGGGAGGAAGTCACCCAGCGCCACGACACCACCATCTGCAGCCTTCATTCCACAAACGGTTGGCAAGAACTCCAGGCCTCAGGTGAGGCCACTGCCCAACACTCTTGTGCAGACTTCTCCTGGGGATAGTGGAAGTGGTAAAAAGGCCCCTCTTAAACATTTCATTTTTCCATAACTCTGTGCTGTTCCAATTTACAAGCACTTCCTATTCGACAGTAGAGTTGGCAGCAGATGCACGTTTCATATGTAAACAATGTTTAAAATACCCTGTTCAAAATTTGATCATTAAATTAATTCTGGCAGCTTTAGCTAAGAATGGTTTTTTACCCGTGGGGGCAGGGGAATACTACCTGATCTAACTAGGAACACCCATTTGAGGCTTCAGAGTTCTTGAACATGAGATTTCACAGGATGCTTCAGTGTGAGGGCTAGGAGGCATGTGTTCTCTCTCTCTTTGATGGTTCAGACAGACTCACCAACCCTCGCTTACAGATATAATGTGTTGTGGCAGGGCAATGGACCCTAACACCAGTGGGACTCAAGAGCCTCCTTGACCTTGTCTAGCTGCAGCCAAAGAAGGAAGAGATTCACAAAGTTACTGGACAGGAATGCAAATGCTGGAATCCCAGCAAGTGTATCTAAAGAGGCCCATCACCCCACAAGGGGAGAATGCAGCCCAGTTCTCAATCACCTAAACTCCAGAGCTTGTGCCTAATCATAGCTCTTTCATTTAGTCAAGCTGAAAGTTTTGGAGATCTGCAATGAATCCAAATGCACTGGCTGTGAATTATCCCAGTAGTACCTCCACCACATTCTCTATGATTTGGTCCACCTGGAGACCAGCTTCTTCCAGACTCCTCTTCCACTTTCCAGTCTCTCTGCTGAGGATTCACATCCCAGGCACTGCAAACTTGTGCCAAAGTCCACTTTTTCTCAGGCAGCTAGAGTGCTTTATGCTCATCCTCCAAGGAAGAGTTTCCTGACACAGTTCCAAAAGCAGCCTCAGGGTACCATGAAAGCATTTTAGGAAGATTCTCCACAGCCAGATGTTCACAGTGATCTTAGCCTCACCTCCTGTTCCATGTTCAATCCCAAAAGGTCAGAGATCAAGAAAGAAGTTGCTGAATAGCCAAGGTGGCCCTCATGAGAGAGACCTTTCTAAGAAAGCATGCTCCCAGGAAGCAAGCTGAAGAGTTACAACCTAAGTTCCCATTCTCCCCCATCATAATTACATGACCTGCATGGAAGGGGGGACAGGGAGAGACAAGGAAAGTATTAGGCACCATGAGAGCTGTCCATGCTAGGGGAATTCACCTCCCTTTGTCAAGCTGTCTGTCATTCTAAGAGATCAGTGATGTGTGATGCCACAGGGAGGTGAGGGCAGAGAATACAGTAAGCAACAGAAAGGATATATGGTGCCCCATTGCACAAAAGTCTACTGGTGCTATGTTCCCTGGTCATTTGACTTCCGGAATACTTCTTGGTAGAATCGAGGAAGATTTGCAAGCTGTATCTTTCTTAAAAGCAGCTCCACATCAGAAGTCATGAAAGTTATCTCCCAAGACCCTTCCTGGAATTGCGAGGGTAAAAAAAGTCTTGTGAATTTCCTAGGCTAAGATGGGCAGTAATCACAGCTTTTCATACTGGTCCAGTGGAAATGGAAGAAATAGCCAACCTCATGGAGTTTGCCCCTTCTCCCAGGGCCACCTGTTAATGACAGTGCTAGAAACCTGGGATTCCCCAGAGACCTCTCTCCTACATTGTGAGGTCCCAGCACGCAGGACTGGCCATTACATTGTGACAGCAAATCACAAACATGAGCCAGAGTCTTCTAGCTCTTCCTCACAGGGGTATAGTACAAGTTAGAGTCAGGAATCTTAACTGAGGAGGGTATGGAAGTGGCGGAAATTGCATTTGCATTATTTACATATTAGCCCAGCTAGCAAATCTGCCTTCTCAGTGGAGATGACCCAAGGCATTATGGAGGGCAAGTCGCTGACCCAGAAGAAGGGTAAAGCAGCAAGGTTCTACCACTAACCGAAACACAAACATGGATAAATGGAATAGAGTCCAAGCTCTGGTGACTGGATCTTACTTTGGAATGGCCTTTCATCCATTTCTCATTCCCAGGCTCCCAACCTAAATGCCATTGCTTTTTGAACACCTATCACATTTCACGTTAGAATATGGTCTTGGCAGCAAAGGGAGGGGAAAAGCCAGTGATCTCCAAGAGTCCCCATCTGAGGTCTAACTGAGCCTCCTCTGGCTTTGGGATAGCAAATCTAAGTACATTTTGGACCTCAGGAACCTGGGATAAGAGTCTTTCTCCATGAGGCTGTGTACTTTTCCCTGGGCTTGGTCAAAGCAAGTCAGGGATGGCTCCTGCATGTTCTTCCTCGTGGCTTCTCGGGTCTGGAAGTCTATGTTTACCTGGAGACACAAACAGAGAGCATGGTCACAGGCCCTCAAGGGCCAAGGTGCCTGGCAACTGTTCCTAGCTATGTAATAATTATTAATGACAGTATCTTATATATGTCAGCTGATTCATGCTTTTCAAACTGTTTTCCTGGAGGTCATCCCTTTTGATCCCAGCAAGAATCCTGTGAGGTCTGAAGACCAGATATACCTCACCCCAATTTACAGATAAGGACACTGAAGAAAGGAGATATTGAAAAGCTGGTCTAAAGTAGTATGGAAAGTTAGTAACAGAGTCAAGGCAAAACCCTAATCACTTAACTCCTAAGCCAGGGGTCTTCACCATATCAGGCAAAGGGTGAGACTGAAGGTAAGTATTAATGTGGATTCCGTAAAGAAAGCTTGCCCTACCTATTAGGGAAACAAATGTCCCCGGAAGAGAGACCATGGTTATAATGGACATCTCTCTTCCAAGCAGCATTATAAGGAGCCTACAATGTCCTGGCCACTGGCCAAAGATCTTCTACATCCCAAGTCAAAGGATAATTGAAGAGTTCTAGGTATATAATGCACTGAATTATAGATAGATAGCAATCATAGATAACAAATATTTTTCTTCTATAAAACCATCCCAAGTAAAATTCTGCTTTATAACTCAGCATAGCAATTCATTTTATTATTGTAATGATACTAAGTTATAATAAGATAATATAAATGACTGTAATGACTCATTAAGAAGCAGTGACAGGGGGTGCCTGGGTGGCTCAGTCGTTAAGTGTCTGCCTTCAGCTCAGGTCATGATCTCAGGGTCCTGGGATCGAGCCCCATGTTGGGCTCCCTGCTCAGCAGGAAGCCTGCTTCTCCCTCTCCCACTCCCCCTGCTTGTGTTCCCTCTCTCGCTGTGTCTCTTTCTGTCAAATAAATAAATAAATAAAATCTTAAAAAAAAAAAAAGCAGCAGTGACAGATGTTGAATAGGTGCTTTATCTCTAATACTCAGAGTAGTCTTGAAAGGTAGGGGATATTATACACTTTTACACTGGGGAAAATGTGATTCAGAGAGACTAGCGGACTTGGCCAAGATCACACAGCTAGTAACAAGATTCCAAAGTGGATGCTCATCCCATTAAGCCATGCTGCCTTCCACTAGGAAAACTAACATGGATTCAATGGCATCTACCCTTGCAGAATCCCTATAGGAACACAGGTCCTGCAGGCGCATTTTTGACAGCTAAAACATTCCTAATAGAGCTCTTTTTTAGAAGTCCTGGGCTCTGCACCTAAAAGTGATCCTTTTTTTTTTTTTTTCATTAAGAGCCATCAGAGAGGTAAGGCTCCGTTCAAAGACAGTACCCATCAAGGCTGGCTTGAACCCCCACAGGAGAGTGATGTGAGCCAGGAGCCATGGATAGAGGTCTTACAAGACTCTCGCCACTGCCAACACACCTCCCTCGGAGCCTGCACATCCACAAACTCTTCAAAGATCCTATGGGCCTTGGAGACCAGCTTTGTAGTTGACCTGGTCTTCTTGAACTCCTCACACGCCAGCCAGAATTCCAGGTTCTCCTCGCTGAACTCTGTCTTCAAGAAGGCGCGGAATGCAGCCACCCCATCTGTGGATGTGGTGGGTGGGGAAGAAGAGAGAGAAGAAGAGGCTTGAGCTCATGAACTATAGAAGCAAGAGAGAAAGGCAGCAATAATGTGAAACCAGCCCGGACTGTCCAACCCCCAGTGCCCCACATCCTCTTGAAGACTCTCTCCTAAACACACAAGTACACTCAGAGGCAAGCTCTGCTCCTGCTCAAGGACTGTAGGAATGTGAGGGAGAAATGTTGAGGAAGCCATAGTAATAATGATTATGAGAAGCCCTGGTCACTCTTCATCAGCCTTCGGGGGTCACTGCCTGTCCCCTAGTGCAGAGTCCGCTGTCCCGAGTCCACTGGTGAACCTGTGTTTCTAATGAGGCCAAAGTAATATTTGTAATGCATTCCCTACCCGAATCCAAGTTAACCACCCTGAAACAACAATCTGTTACAAGACAAACTACAGGAGGGTGTTAATGCCTCAGGGCAAATCCTTCACTACTACCAGAAGAACGTCTGAAAGTAAACACTGAAATTCAGTCACTAAAGCCACTCTATTACCTTCACAGTGTTCCCAGCCTCTTCTAAAAGACTTTTGAGGCCCTGTGTTTTAATGGTTTAGCCTGTGGATACTTTATTTTAAAATATCTTGCTTATGAAATTACATGGTTTAATTAAGATTAATTATAATTTTTCTCCCGAATGATTTAATTATGAACACACCTTTTCATTTTTTTTAAATCCATGTCATGCATACTGCAAACAGAGTTTCCAATCAGAATAAGATGAGCAGGGTTACCATGTAGATTTGGAAAACAACATCCACTGATAGCCTATACATTCAGTTAATGTTTTTATATTAAGATATATTTTATAAATTATCTTAACCCTCAAAACACTCTCCTCCACTCAAATTAGAGCTATATCTTTCTACAAACTGTCCTCAGGGAATGGGCAGACACAGCCTAGAATGAGGTGACTGCATTGGTTAAATATGACTCTGACCGGAATGTTTTCTTTCTTTTCTAAAACTTGTTAAAAGGACAATATGTCATTAATTCTGAGAGAGTGGATCACCTGAGCATCTGAGGCCCCCCAGTGTGCACCAGGACAACGTGCTGCCCAGGGTCATCCCACGGATTGGTGGCGCCCTGCTATCGACATATTTAAATGTTTGTTTTTACTTTTGTGAGACATTTTCATTTCTAATTAAAAAGTCATTGGGTATCTTTGTCTTTCAAAATAGATGTTGTAATGTCCTACACTGGAACAATTGTCATAAAAAACCAAGACTTTTAGTTGCCAGAGCCAGGAACTTGAGAGAAAAGGGTTTTGATGGAATTCCCAAATCAAAAAGAAATCTAAGTTTGGAGGCCTGAGTTTAAAGTGTGTAACAAAAGTAGGGTAGCCATGAAAACTACCCCCCGAGCCAGTACGTTTTTGAGAGTCAATGGGGGGTATGCCTATTAATTACACAGAGACAATGGGCATAAACCACGGCCACCATAGACAAAAACCAGAACATATGATCACCGTAAGACAAGACATATGGTCCTCTAAGATAAGGAGTATGGAGAAAGCAGAACATGATGTAAGGCTGTTTCCCGTCAGGCAGGATGGAAATAAAATTGCTCCTGTGCCAGGGAAGGAAGAGGAGAGTAGTGTTTAAACTCATATGAGAGTTTGGCTCAGGGCCCCACGCACCCTCATTCTTACATTGGGTTTAAAACCCTGAGAGGAGGGAGTAGAAACCAAAGATAAAATGAGAATCAAAGAGAGCAGGAAGCACTAACATGACGAAGATTAGACAGAGAAATGGCCAGAGAATCATTCATTCATTTTAACGACTTTTTTAAAACTACCAATGTACAAAATATGTCAGGTCATAAAATCTACCCATAAAATCCCTTGTGGATGCTCTTTTTTGCCACACCTTGTCTCCTCCAAGTTCTTTTAGAGGTAACCCAGAGGTTTCCCCAGGCTCTGAGGAACTCAGATCTGAGAGCTAGCCTGCCTGCCAGGAGATTGCCACTGCTTGCAGAAAGGGCCCCTGTAGCAGAGGCCACAGGCAGAGGTTGGCTGGAATACCATTTGGAGCTGTGGAAGCCTCCAAAGAGACTCAGTGCCCATGAGAGCCAAGGTGGAGCTGGTCCAGCAAGGCAGTCTCTGAGCAGTGACCGGTCCACACATGGCAAGAGCCATGGATGCTATCGGTGGATGCAGGGGGGACATGAGGACCACAGGCCAAAAGCCTTCTCCTGTGGGCAGGGATTGGGAAGGAATGGGCAGGGGGAGAACCCTAAAACACTGTGCATTTATCTAAAAGAGTAAATGCAAAGTGGCTTGGAAGAGTCACTTGGAAGGGCCTCTTGTTTCTAAACTGGAAGAGACCAAATCCTTTGAATGGCAAAGCTGAAGTTTGTTGTTTGTGTTAGATTTTGTGTTGTTTTCCATCGAGAAAAAATTGAATCCAGTTACAGATAAAGGAAATTACCTTTCTGCCTCCCTTGATGGCATTGGTGAAGATAACCCCGCTAGGGAAACTCCCCGACCTCATGCGAGACAAGAGACAGACATTATCTCCCTTCACTGAAGTCTCAGCTTTGTTGGGCCTTTGTGTGGATTGAAAAAGAGAGAACACCTGCAAGGTGCTCTCAGGAATGTTGCTGTACTTCTCCCAATCTTACAGGGGAAGAAGCTGATGCTTGGAGATCAGGCTTGACGGAGTTCACGCAGGTAATACTGTGTAGCATTAAAAATACGAAGTATACTAACTCCCAACCCAACATAGCAATAATGCCTCTTCCATTCATTCACTCGCTCATTCATACACCCATTAAGGGACCCAGGCATTCTTCGAGATGTGCTAAAAACAGGCACAGCTAAGCCCTCAGAACTTGCAGTGAAAGGGCCATTTGAGCCAAGAAAATATAATTTGGTAGTTCCTTTATACACAATAAGTGGGATGGCAGGGTAAGCATAGGTTGCTGTGAAAGCACTCAGCAGGGATGCCTCAGCCAGACCTAAGGCCCTAAGAAGGACGGGGAAGCTTCTAAGCTGAGATGTAAAGTAGGAGGAGCAGGAAGCTAAGTGAAAGAAGGGAAGGGGGGATGGAGAAGAGAATTGTAGGAAGGGAGAGCCACACCAGCGAAGGCCAATAATTAAGAATGTTTGAGTAATTAGAAATAGCTCAGGAAAACTAGTGTTTAATAATAATAATCACGTAAACAATTATTGAGCCTACTTATAAGATACATCAAGAATCCTGTGAAAGAGCCAGAGAGACAGAAGGATAATACAGCACTGCAAAAACCCAGGGAAGCGAAGGTTTTGAGGAAGAGAAAGCGGCCATGTGGCCAGTGCTACTCAGAGATCAAGCTAGCTATGGTCCGAGAGGCAGTTGTTGGATTCAGTGATGAGATTCAGCGACCATGGGCAGTTGCAGCTTTAGTGGTGTGATGGGGGCCCTGGGCACTGGGGTGAACGTGGGGGTGAAAGAGAGGAGAGGAAGCAGAAATAGTTCATTTAGATGTTTCTTGCAAGAAGGGGAGGAGAGAGATCAGACAGCATAACTGGAAGGAAATCAGAGGTCAGGAAAGAAGGGCTTGGGGTTTTCTGGTTTTGTTGTTGTTGTTGTGTGTTTTGTTTTTTGTTTTGTTTTGTTTTGTTTTTGGTAAGATGGTCTTGAGTATGTTTGAATGCTGATCTAATTAGAAAAGACTGCTTGACTAGAAGGAGTTGAAATTAAAGGACAGAAAGAGTGTAACTAATAAAATGTTGCAGAAATAAGCCTGAGAAGAGAATTATGATGGAGCGGAAGAGAAAGGGCTGCATGTGGATACAGGGAAATTTCTAGTTTGGGTGCAGGAAAATGAAGGAATTCCTGTCTGATTTTAGCTGGAGAAGGTGGTGGGACCTAGGGATGGCAGGGTTTTATTTTTATGTATTTATTTAGGATTTGGGGCATAAAATTTTATTTATTTACTACATGCCATATTTTTTGCTGGGGATTTTGCAAACACCAGCTCAATTTATTTTCACAACAATGCTGATACATAGATAGTAACACTCTGGTTTTCCAAACGAAGACATTAAGACTTACTTACAGAAGTCGAAGATGTGTCCCAGTTCCACAGCTGGCAAGGGGAACCAAGTTTTGCTACCAGGTCCATATGACTCTAAAGCAAGATCTTTTTTAGATGTATTTGCAGGCAGAAGGAAAAGACCAAGGGAAGAGAAAGATTAAAGAATCAAAAGAATATATCTGGTGAAGACAAATCCTAGAGAAGGAGGGGGACCAAGAAGGAGTAGGAGAACTTGTCTCCCTTAAAGTCAAAAGTAGAGAAAAAGAAAGTGGGGTGGGTGAGGATAGAAAGAACTGGCCAGGGAAGGGGCATCTTTGAGATGTATAAGGCTGAACAGCTTTGATCTTCATTAATTTGGGGTGAAGTCCCCGTGAAGGCAGTCTGCCTCCACGTGCTAGGCTGTGAGGATATGGCATGAGTAAATCAGATGAAGTCACCACCTCACAGAACTCAAAAGCTAGTCCAGTGTCACAGACATTGAGCAATAATTTAAAATAATTAGTTGAATATTATAAGTCCAGTGTGTGATACAGGGGTTTGGGAAGGGTTTGGAATAGGTACTTTGGAAAAATAAGCAGGAATAGGGTAAGAAATAGGCAAAGACTTGTGAGGTCCTAGGTTCCAGCTCCTGAACAAGGTTATGAGGCACCAGGAAGGGAGCAAGAACTTTTAACTCTGAGGATGCGCCCATCGTTCAAAGAAAGGACCGTCAGTTCCAGGTTGGCAGACGAAGCTTGAACCCGGAGAACAGTAAGGATTTAGGATCTAAACGTTGGAACATAGGAAAAGAGGAGAAGGATAAACATGAGGTTAAAAAAAAAAAAAAAAAAAGGTTGACGTTAGAGAAGGAATTTTGAAAATGGACCACTGCAGGCCCTGAATGCGCACTTACTTTGGGCCAGCCACCACATTAGATGCTCTATGAACCACCGGCATTTGCTCTAT